GATAAAAGACTTACCATAGCCTTCATGTTTGTGCTAGAGTTGGAACTTAGGGAACGTTTCTACCAAAATGTTTTCAGTAGTAGTGTGATGTTTAAACTACTGATAGACTCGTCTTTATATACTCGACAGAAAAGGTGTGGTTTATTCGTCTAAACACTGTTATTCCACGCATCAGCAGAAGGATTAAAAATAAACACCATAATCGAGGCACAGCAGTCTAGCTTTTTGAGTGACACCGGCTAGAGGCACTGTTAAGTACATGGTACCAAGAAAAATGAACGAAAACGAAAAGGTACACGTTTCAGTAGAGTTGTAATAAGGTCGTCATTCGTGATTCTCGGAGTTTTGCCCTCAATCGGCGATCGTCGTACCAACGAAAATGACTTCAAACTTAGATTCAAGTTCCGGCAAGCGGTACACTATTGAGTCCGCACCTCTGGCTATAAGATATAAATATAACTTTAATCGTATTTCAAAAGTTTAATTACAAATGAAAAGTAACTTTGACACGCTTTAAAAAAAAGACATTTTTTTATTCTAAATGAATAACTGCTTTGACAGAAATATTAGCTTAATGCAATATCTTACAATGTTACTGTAAGTTATCCGAATCAGTCTACAGTCTAAATTTATTAAGCAGCAGTAGATTTATAGTCTAAAGAAAAAATACCATATGCTATTCTATGAAAACTGGTTCGTGGTTTAGATTTAACCAAAGTTCTTGGTTTATAAATAGTAGTTTTATAACGTAGCGAGACTAAAACCTTGGCTCTCATCGGAATGCATTCAATTAGCAACTATTTGCTTTTAAACTTATGCCATTAGTGAAAGATTCTGTTCCCAAACTCATATTTTAAATATTTAATTCATATCATACGTTTGAAGAAAACGGTACGTTATTTTAAACTATCTTAAACACACCTTAAACTTTACCACAGTATTGAGTTTGATAACATTGCAGGTTAACAGAAAGCAATAATATCAGAACAAAAACGACCCAAAACACCTATACACAATTTTCAGACGATGGTCTTCTATTAATTTGGAACATATAAAAGAAACACTCATTATGTCACTCGTTTTTTGTTGTTGTGTTTTAATTGCTCCATGTTAGACTATTTAACCAATACTGAAACACCATTACTCATCTGGACTGAGGGTTGAAAGGCTCAGTCTAAGTTTATTACTTCAATAAGGAGTTTGAAAGGGTGAAAAACCAATCAATAATTAAAAACAAGTGAAGTAATTAAGAGTGCAAATAAAATGATTCATAGTAAAGATACACCATATCGAAAATCGTGTCAGTTTGTGATGTTGTCAATGGTTAATAGGTTTAATGAATAAAGCATTTAGATGATTTTAAGCAGAATGTTTTATCATTAAAGATAATTTCACACCATATCACAATTCACAGTGAGTAATATTAACATTAAACTTTTACTTTTTCAATTTGACGTCGTGTATTCTGCATTCCAAACTTTTCTTTAGATTCATTCCTGTATCATTCAATTCTACAAAAAAAAAAAGAGGCTAAAGTCGCTACAAAGAAATTAAAATATCCTTAATGCTATAACGGTCAAAAGAACCTCATGACGGTAAACATCATAATATGCAGCAAGTTTAACAATTTTATATATTTAAATTTTACAGTTCTGTGGCAAATAACTTTAAAAAAATCTCCAAAGACTATATGATATATGTGTTTGTGTGTTTTTATGTATCTTAAAATGTAATCTAAAAAACGCTCAAAGACAAAACACTCAGAAAAAAAATGTCAAAAATCAATTTAGTTATGAGTGATGTAAATATATTTATATTTATATGTGTGTGACAAAAATATTTTTCAGAGTGGGGGTTTTTACTTTGTACCATGTAATTTTCAAATCCCTATAGTGTGATTATCATGAATATCAGTTTTATTTCATAATTACGTGAATAACACCAAATCTAGTTACTATGTTACTAACAGTTATTTATTGATAGAATAGTCTGTAGCAGATAAGAAGCCAAACATTTTAAAGATCAAAGTTGTTAAAAGTATAATTTATATCTGAAATATAACACTAAAAACCGGAATTGGATACACGTGGTGGGCACTGCACAGATAGCCCATTGTGTAGCTTAGTACTTAACTACAAACACTACCTAAACGAATTCCTTCTTCTTTTTTTTTTTAATATTCTTGAGAAAAATCTTCTGCCATCTAGCGGTGGATTTTGAGGTATTATATTAATCTGCAAATGAATAAATAAACAAATAAGGTTACTAGTTGGAATTAATTTATCTTTTCGGTTGAGGATCTCTACTGGAATAGAATTTGTTTTTCAAATATTAAACCAAATTCTGAAAATATGTAAATAAAATTAATTTCTTACACCACTTTTCCGGTTATGGGTGTAAATAACAGCAATGTGAAGATCAATAAGACGTCTAGACTTTAAATTACTGTCCTTATCAAGCTGCAGAAATAATGCTAATAATACTTTATAAAATGCCCAGTTTTTAATATTGTGCAATCATATTGAATTTTATTTTCTTATAGTGCACATGAAGTAAGTAAATGAAACTGTTCATATAATGAAGATCTTGACATTGTTATTATACTGTTTATTAAATATGTACATAAGTAGTTCAGTATATGGCCCACAGGACACATTAGGCCTCTGAAAGCCTAATTCGTGGCCCTCACTATAATAGAATATTTCATAAAATATATGTGGAATGGTTTATTGCCCAACAAACTCAAGCCCAGACTTTTTTTTTTATGGTCATCACCTGAAGCGGCCTCTTGTGGTAAATAATTGGGGACCACAGGTTGACATCATTACTACTTTAAAAATAATTAAACAACCAAAATCTAGCCTTCATTTATTTTTGTATTTGCACGAGAAAAAATATTTTCTTTCTTTTTCCTTAACCAAATTAGTTTGTTTTAAAGCGTCCAGTATAAATATAAGTACACATCAGGTGCACCATGGAAAAGGTAACTGTCCACCTTTACATAGTGTGCCCTATTTTACAGCATCCTTTCTCACTATATAAGCGTACTTGAGACAATAAGAGAATAATTGAAAACAATAAGTGACTAAGACAAAAGAACATTCCTTGACCAAAGCTCTGCTGTTACATATGTAACTAGAAACATGTAGGCACAAAAAATTAGAAACTGGGAAATACTAAATATGTTTTAAATATTTCATATTTTCTCATCTCTTTGTTTATTCGTCACGACTATGGCAAACGCATAACTTATCATCAACTGTTTATGCATAATATCATTCAGTTTTTACATCATATTTATATATTTGTATAAATTCCATTCTAAACTTTTGCACGCAATTTTTCAATTTATACATCTCTTCTTTGAACTTTACATATATTTAGAATTCGATGTATAACTTTTTATAATTTTTAGTCATAAAGCTCTTGCACCCTATTTAGATTTTAAACATATTTATACATCTTTGATATTACACTATTTTTTATTGTTTGTTTGTTATGAATTTCGCGCAAACCTACACGAGGGCTATCTGCGCTAGCTGTCCCTAATTTAGCAGTGAAACACTAGAAGGAACTGCATGCTGAAAATCAACTTAATTCTACACTCTGATCACACCTTATGATATTTCTATCTATGAATGATTTAATCATCAAAGGGAGCAAAGAGCAAAGTCTTACAAAGTCACCATGAAGCGAATGGTAATTACATATATCACATTTTCGCTTCAGCAAAATACTTGAAAATAAAATTGATATAAATATAAATAAAATAAAGTTTCGTAGGATATAACATGAAAATACATTCGCCTTGTCTCAGTGAACTCCCAACAACAGGCCTTAGACTTACAACTAATGACGATTGTATGTTTGAGGGTAATCTTGGCTCTCACCAGAGTCTTTAAAGTCTGGATCAGCCTAGATATTAGTATTTGCACCACTTTCTCCCACCTGGATATTGTATCTCCATGCTTCTGCTTCCAGTCTTTTTGCCACACATCTCACGGCGTGAGCATGATAAGGACGGCAAACTGTTGAAACATGTGTAATTGAGTGATTGTCTTTGGTGCTGTTGTCAGAAGCTCAGTTCTTAAAAGTGAAAGCACATCTAATGTTATTGGTGGAGCACCCTCCAAAAGGACACTTCATGGACTTTTGGTGTTCTTCCCGTGTTATCCATTAGTTCCAACTTAACTGGAATAGGTGCAAGCTCTGGTGTCAGTTAACATAATGGAGGGAAATTTCTCGGAAAGTTTTCATTTTGATAATATAAGAGATATGAAACGATTATCCAGTGGTCTCCAGGACTCTGGAAGCTAACCTAATGTTTACTCTGGCAATGACAGAGCCAATGGATGAAGCCAAGTCACTGGCTGACTTGGCTGAGTTGCAGGCTCTGACAAAAGCCACGAAGAAATGCTGTGACCACGGGTCTTGCATCTCCCTCCAAGAGGTGTACCAGCTGTGGTCAAGAGACTCGTGATAACTGATTCATTTGTGGAGCTGAGCCTGCCAACAGCACAGCCACAAATGATGGTGTGAAATTAAACAATAAAGCAAGAAAGAGGAACATTATACCCCAACTTGCTGGTTAAATGAATAAATTAGCCAGAAGGGTTAAGGGTTTGATCTTACATAGAAAAAACAACAACCAGGATTAGAATATATAGCCAGTTGGATTCTAAATGGTCAGAAGCCTAGCCAAATGTGTGTTTTCAAAGCTGTGACAGCCCAGTTACAACTAATACCTTTCCTAAAACTTGTTTTTAGATAAATAGTGTTAAAACTATTCCTTTGGTCAAGCTAAATTTTTACTTGTCTACGCGTGCTCACATATATATTTGTTGTAGTAAATGAATCCCTTGCACTCATGAGAGTCCTGATCCATCAAGATATTGTTGCTATAGCAATAGATAACATAGCTACCTGTAATTTTCCTGTATTCTTTCCACTACTGGTTGTTTGTTATATAGTTTGTTTGTTCATAATTAAGCATAAAGCTACACAATGGGCTATCTATGCTATGCCCACCACGGGTATCGAAACCCGGATTCTAGCGTTGTAAGTCCGCAGACATACCGATGTGCCACTGGGGGGGGGGGGCTGTTTGTTATATCAACATAGCCCGGATCCAATGGGTACGTAAAAAGTGGGTGACACTGTAAGCATTTGTTTTTACATAATTAACTGAAACAGGCTAGTTACGGAAATCCAATAGCACAGACATATCACTTCCACTAGAGTTCATTTTTAGATGTAAATTTAGTA